CACCCGGCCTTTGCCGGAAGAGCAGGGTTATCATGCTCACTTTGGCTAAATGTTTGTCTGTTTCGTCATGGCTTCGAGCCGGTGGTTTCCGCATTGCGTACGTAATTATTGGCTAGGCCAGGACATACTCACCACTGTGAAATGCTAACTTGAAGGTGACTGAGCATGTAAACGTGCGCACCCTAACGTGTCGGATGGTCTGCTAAACCGTGCTCAGCCTTGCCGAAAATCCATGCCGCCACTGTTCAGCAGATTACACCCACGCCGGCCGCAAATGATGGGTTTTCAAGCCAAAGCACTGCAATGCCGATAGCGTAACTAGACGTTAAGTGGGGGGGTGCGGTTAAGTCAGGGGTGTGGTGTTCGTACGTGCGTAAATGTCTGACTCGTCGAACATGTACAAATATGATGACGTGTCCAAAATAGCGCCATACCCAGCACGCCTCGGTGACTAAAAACAGCTGATTCAGAACGTTCCGGATCTACTGGTGGTAATCCAACGGACCATGCAACGCGATGAGTTTACACAATTGAGTGGAGGTGATGCTCTTTCTCATGCAAGGATTAGGACTCCGCATGCAGCACACAACCTAAGGCTTATTCGCCAATGCCACTTTTCTAGTTTTAAGCCGAAACCTTCGTGCAAACCAAAGGAATAAGTGTGCGATTTTTCGCAGGGGCTGTTGCAATTTCACTTCAGGTTGCGATACTTAAGACTGCATATATGGGTGGGATCTGTCACCTCTTAGGGTGAAATTGTTTGTTGAATTAGAACAATTTTTGTGGGTTATTTCCACAAAAAAACTGGACATCAAAGCCTGTACGCTTGGTCTTGGGCTACGTCCGCCTGGTGTGACTGGCATTATAGTCAGTTTGCTTACGTGCCTGAGTAACACCGCCACCTCACGAGTCCCAACTGGTTAGAGGCGGGCAAATCGGCCGGAGAACGTTATCATGACAGGCTCATTGTATTTTTTGGCTAGAAGATCGGTCACCAGTCTCGCTTTGGAACGCGGCAAGGATATTAGGCAAAGCAGCCGTCGCCATTTTGCCTACAAATCCCTTTTCACCCGCGGCGCATTGACACAGATGTGACAGGATTATGAGCGCGGCTGGCAAACTCACGTTATGGAGGTGTGGCAGGTTGTCATATTCGTTGCAAGGAAGGGCGTTGCAAAAAATTGCCTGCATCCAGGACGCTCCCATGTCCTTGAAATCACCACGCTATGGTCAACTGCTTGAAGGTATGTCTCTCCAGCGTTACGTGAAGCGAAATAGACATCACTGTAGACGGATTACTATATGTGCAGCTGTTACAGATATAGGACTGGATGAGCTAGACAAGAGCTTGACCGCCATTTAAATAGCACAGTGTTGAGTGGCATAGATTCGTATGCTGCTGACACACACACCCGCTGGTAGTGCGTTGATCTGATCATGTGTTGTGCATTCAGATGTGCATAACTTTGGATCTATGCCTGGATCAACCGCGCTTCATACAGTCAAAGTGAGATTCACTCTTGGGAAATCAGAAGGCTCGAATGATAAAAAGTTCAACGGAGTGGCTGAAATGGGTGGAATCAACCACATGCCAACTTAAGCAAGGCGACTGAATATCAACTTACAATCGATGTACTTACTTAGCCAATTTGTGAAAGCCAGCTAACTAGCACAGCAAATGTAATGTGTGACGGTTCACTATGACCTAGTCACTACGCATGCGCAGGCATATCATGTAGGTCTTAAGACAGCCCATCGACCACATTATTGCCCTCGCATTCTGAGCTATTGCCACTGGAATCGATTTTACCGACGTGAACTGTAGATTCAGATCCCGTCCCTTCGCGTCCGAAAAACTGCTGCAACTCGGAGCCGATTTAAAAGCAAGATCAGCACGCTGCGAGTTAAAGTCTCAAAATGTTTCGATAGGGTAGACTGAAGCAAACGCTTGTCTCCTACCCAATGACAAATTGGAACTCGCCTAAGTCTGTTCGTTTTCAGCACCGCATCTGTGTTGCAGGTTGAGTGCGGCGCGCCCGCTGGATCTGGACGACCCGGACAACATATTTTCCACCAAGAAA